TAGTAATACATTTTAGCTGTTTTACTGAAAATTTCAGCTGTTTTATTTATTTTACAACAATTTATCACTTTTATGTAATTATGCAAATTTTCCCTGCCTTTTTCTGTTTTAGCTATTTTTCAACTATGACTATTTCAAATGGGTGCCAATTTCAAATAGTGGCTGCTCCCTTTAGCTTATTTTATGATAATTTTAGCTATTTTATGCTACCATATAGATCTGCTTCTTTTTGCCATTCTTCTGCTTTTTATGCTTTTTTCTGCTATCTAGTGCTATTTATGCTTCTTACAGATGTTTTCAGCTATATTAGCTCTTAGCTGTTTTCTGTTTTCAACTCGATTTGTGCTCCTTTTCACTATTTTTCTGCAAAGTTAGGCTTTTTATTTATTTATTTTTTGCTTCTTTCAGCTTTTCAAAGTGAGCTCACATTAACAATATTCCTATTAAATATTTTCAGCTCAATTTCAGCAGCTTTCAACTTGAGTTTTCAGCATGAAGCATTCACATTAGCATTTTTCGCAGGAAATGCAGTTTCTTTAGTTTTAGTTCTTCGAGGTAGAAGGTTCTAGAAGGTCTTTTAACTTGACAAATCCTTTTAGTTTCTTTTTAGAGATCATTTCTCTTTTCTTACACAAAAAGCATTTGTTCGACAGCCAAATACTAACTAAAACTAACATTTTATTTAACTTATGTAAGACTGAAAATGTCTAAAATGTATTTCAGGAAATGTTTGTCTTAACAATAAATAAATTACAGTTCAAAAGAAGAGCTAAGATAAATTCTGAAATACATACATGTGAATTTAAAACACAGCAAACTTCTGCAAAATTGACCAACAAATTCAAACGGTGTAGTTTTATTTTAGTGTGAACTTTTGTGTGTGTCTTGTATATTGAAAGTTTGTCCTCCTGTGTGGATTTTCATGTGTTTGTTTAAACTTTGTTTGCAACTAAATCTCTCTCCATAAACCCCACAAGCAAACACTTTCTGTCCTGTGTGGATTCTTATGCGTCTGTCCAAACTCGTCCCGTGTCGAAATCTTTGTCCACAAACCTCACAACCAAACGGTTTCTGTCCTGTGTGAACTTTTGTGTCTGTTTAAATGTGTTTTTCTGGTAAATCTTTGTCCATAAACGTGACTCACAAGCAAAGGATTTCTGTCCTGTGTGGATCCTCATGTGTGTAATTAAATTTGTTTTTCGGTTTAATTGTTTTTCACAAAACACACAAACACACGGTTTCTGTCCTGTGTGAATGCTCATATGTCTGTTTAATGTCGTGTGCTGGCTAAACTTTTGTCCACAGATATCACACACATATGGTTTCTCACCAGTGTGGATTATTGTGTGTGTCTTGAATTCCTGTGTGGCTCCTCCCCCAGTTTACCCACAAGGACACCGATGGGTCTTGGAGAGGAGACGATGTCTCCCACTTAGTTTGGAGGCGATGGGCCAGACTTACAGCCACCTGGGGGTGACCTGTGTGGCTGAGTCTGACGTGTCTCCTCCGGGAGTCATTGGGCGGGAGCCTTTAGCTCGGCCTCCAGCTGCCCTCCTTCCAGTGGTCGCTCCCTTCTCGAACCCCGGCCTCTGGGTCGGCATAGTAGCTCAGGACGCCTCCAGTTGCCGGTCACCACAGTTTCACTGGTAGCCGCTCCCTCGTAGGATGTGCACTTCTTATTGTGACCGAGATGACATTTAGTGACCTGGGCAGTAGGTCTCAAGGGAAATGTTAAGGGGAGTTATCCTATCTCCCCAGGTTAATAACCATTAAAAATGAACTTATTATTGATTTAAAAACCTCATATAATCACCTCTTGGCCCCAAAGCAACCATACTCTTTAATATGTTAATACCTTGCTGCTCTGAAGTAACAAAACTCTCATGTAATCAGAAAAAAACTTTAAAGGACAACTTTAAAAATCAATGTCCAGTCATGAATTTGTCTTTATGATGCTGTAAGCAGTTTAATAGGAATTTGCAAGAAAAGCCACATTTGATTATACAGATTAAGAATATTGATTRGTAATTGATGGTGATAAAAATAAAATGCTCTAATATGCTGACCTATCTTTCTGATTAGGTGGTGTGGCATTTTCTGTCAATTTGGGGATGGCAGGACAGGTTGGAGCAGTCAGCTTTACCTCCATGGGGTGCATCAGATTTTTTCCTGAAAAGAACTTCTCAGAGTCGGGCTGGGTTCAATCTGGTCTTCGGTCCTTGGACTCGCTGGTTCACTTGTTGACCCGGTGTCTGAGAAAGGTCTCAGATGAGAGTCGGGGTTGTTTCCTTCATCATCCTCACTGACTTCAGTCTCTGAGGAGCTGCAATTGTCTCCATGAGGATTTGAGTCCAGGTTCCTGGTAGTTCCTGCTCCTCTACAATCCTCTCCATCAGTTCCTACCTGGTCAGCTGAGCTGCAGGTTGGAACATCTCCAGCTTCCATTTGGTGCTGCTGAAGCTCCAGAACTGGGTGGTGTTGTTAAAATTAAATGTATTTACTGCCCCCTATTGGCCTGGAAGATGTTTACAGCAAAATAAGCACAACACAATAACACACAGGTAATAATGACCAAAAACATTCAGTAACTTTTTAAATGAAAGAAAATGTACTATCTGTTATAAAATAGAATTCTTCAGCTGAAGA